GGTGTTTGGTTGCTACCCAGAGGATACGTGGATATAAATATCCGGACGTTGTGAGCTGCGATTTGAACCGTACGCACAAGAATCGCTTCTGGCCACTCCCAGGTGAATGCCAGTCAGAAGTTTTCCAATTGTGACGCCTAGTGGAAATTCAGTATTAGTATAGATATCAAAGCGAAGAAATATCAAGTTTTGTGAGTATTTTTGTTAATTTGCTTGTGTATTTGCGTATAATTTAGCAAATCGCCAAAAGATAAAAGAACTGCTATGCAAATAAAATAAAATTATAGTTTAAAAAACTAAAACCTACCTATTATAATTGCCATTCGTACTGTCAACAGGTATGTAACTTGAGAATAGAAATCGCTGCATCTTTTAGGCGCATCAATATTACATAGTTACATCCCGAGCTAATAAAAGGAAGGTAATAAAAAAGGCGTCTATGGGTATTTGACAGTTTTACCAGTTTTTACCCGAAAAGCGTTCCGGTACTTTTTGGTTTTTCTCTCTTTCTCTGAGAGCAATTTTGCTTTTGACAGTTTTACATGTTTTATCCAGAAAAGTTGAGGAACGAAATTAAAATTTGCTTTCGGATGTAAACAAACAACAGCTTTTCTCGATGTTAGTTCTTCGCTTTGCTCGCCGCTCCACTATGCCTTTAGCCTTACCCATTTTTCTTGCATTATTGTCGCTTTCTGGGGGGAGATTCTGTAACCAGTTACCGACAATTTTCGGATCGCTATCGCAGTTTTTGACGCATGATATGAAGTGCGATAGCTATTCGAAAATTGTCGCTAACTGGTTACAGAATCTCCCCCCTGGGCTATTTTGGGCACCAGTTCTGCCGTTTTCAATTTTAATAAAAACGTAATTTGTATGGAGTATTTTTTTGAGATGTAGACCCCAAATGTTTTAAAATCTTTTAAACTGAACTTACGGCCATTTAGAGGATTAAAAAAATAAGTGTCGTGTAGAGTGAGGTGGAAACTATTGGGGCAGAGATCTAGACGTCGTTCTCATTGTCAAAGGATATTACGCAGCCTTCGGTATTCCAAGCTATATTATTTGCAGTCATCAAGGACACGGACAACATGATGGAAAACACATATGTGAGGTACATTAAACCAAATGCGCGCAAGTCATTTTACAGCCTTCAAACGAAGTTCTTCTAAACTAGGCAATGCCAGTCAGCTAAATTATTTTGGCAAATATATGCAACAAACTGGTTTTACTTTATATACTCGTAAGTGATAGATCACACGGGAATACCGGCCGATTTGTATACAAAGGACTCACAGGCTAACCTAATATTCGCGGCTTCCGTTTTGGGGTGCACGCCGTCGAATTTGTTTTTTTGCGTCACCCGCAATTGGTTTGAGTGCGATTGCATTTGATTTCATTGAGCGAAACGTCAAATCAAAATGTCACGCACAACAAAAATTGGAAATGGAGTTAGCTTCATACGTACGCCGTTCAATTTCGGCTGGTCCCATACAAATTGCATGTGCATGAGAAATTTTTGACAATAAATTGGCGGCGTGCGTGAATATTAGGTTAGCCTGTCAGGTCACGTATTTCTTGGCCCAGTATCAGTTGTTGCACTCAGTAATGACTGGGAAGCTTCGAGGGTTGCTTCATTAGTACTTTCGGCAGCACTGTTGGGCACCCACGGGATCCCGCAGGCTCGTGTGTAACAAACCTATTGAAACTAATAAGGAAACTGTTTATGGTGTTTTTATAGTTGAAATTGACAAAATAATCCTATTTAAAAATAAAATATTTTCTTTATTAGGAAGTTGCTGCAAAAAACAACCAATTTATTAGCTGTTCTCGAAACTTACAAATCATAATTGGGTTGCGCTCACTTTTTGGGATATTTTTTGTAAGAGAGCGAGTTCTCAGAAATTAAATTGCTGGAGAGTTGCTGGCAAGTTAATGGATAATTTTTACATGTATATATTTATATGCAACCCAACAAGCATTTCAGTAAATGTTTTTAAAAATAACTTAAAGTAAGTTTGCTATAATAAGCGTTAAATAAGCATTTTAATATTAGGCTTGTTAAAGGTTTTTTCAAATAAACCTTTAATAAGTTTTAAGAGCGAATGTTTATAAATAACTCAAACTTATAAATGAAATGCAAATGCCAACGACATGAAGTAGTAAATATAATATTTTTTCAATCGTAAGTGACGTGTTTACGTTTTTTAAAATACATTATTAAAAGAAAAAATTTAACAAAACCGATGCGGTAAAAAAAATCCAATCCAGGACCCGCTGCGCTAATCGGTGGAGCATTCGAGTCTTCGAATGATGAGTTCTCCTTATCCTTTCTTAGTTTAGCATTCAATTAAAAACGTATTAAACTTTTTTCAGAAAAGTTCATCAATGAGAATGGCGGCGATGAAGCTGAATATATATGTAGCTGCATCGATGTCGTTTTTCCAATTTGCCAATAACCGCATGTAATTGGAAGCACGCAACAAGATGTAATAATTATCTTTTTTATGCTTAATGTTTGTGTGATATCATGAATTTGTATGCTAAAATATCTATTCCCTATTTATATTTTCGCGACTGTAGATGAGTCCGCCGAAAATTCGCATTTCTTTTAGTTTCTAGATACTAAGCAATCTAGGTATGAGTTTTTAATGAAATATCTTTAAGTAAAGGGTTATAAAAATGTTCATAAAAAGCTTTCTTTTGAAACCTTTATTATAAGTTTACACTTTTACGCTTATAAAAGCTTTCGTTTGAACATTTATTACAAATTAATATTTCTACGCTTATAACCAATGTTCCTTTTCGATTATATTACGCTTACTTTCAAGCGTTTTATAAACAAAAAATCAACGTTTTGTAAGCTTAATGTTTATAATTGAAAACTTAACAAAGACTTTCTTTAAGTTTATTTTGCTTGTTGGGTTTTTTACGGTTGTCGTTTTCGTTAACCCAAATGAAATCAAATTTAATATTTTCTTATCTAAGTTTCTATCTAAGTTCTCTGGTTCGAACAAAGCAACACCCTGTTATTTATCGTAGCCTTGTTTCACACCTTTCCGAAATTTGTTAGCGTTCATCAAATTCATAACAATGCAATCCACAATTTGTGTATTTTGGAACAGCTGATTTTGACGTTTTCACTCTTTGTGCATTTCCCATCATTTAAAGGAAAACTTTGTTTTATAATTTTGTTTTAAGAAGATAATCAAAAAACTAAAATGTTTTGTTGTTTGCGTACTTGCCTCAATGGTAGTATAAGGAAAACCACCTCTTCAGCAAATCGCCAACGTGAGCCAGAAATATACCTGGATTCCTCGTTTGCAGGTAAGCGTCCTTAGAGCGACAAACCTCTGTATGTATGTAATCCAAAAATTGTATTTGCAATAAATGCGTGTATGTGTACATACATATGTATGTATGTAGATGAAAATAGTAAAGAAATTCCATTTATTTGCTTCTAATTTGATAGGACCAGATGCCATACTACTCTCAAAACAGCTGCGCATCACCGGCTCTGGCGGTGCTTTGGCTACTGCACCACTTGTACAGTCGAAGTCCTACTTTGAAATAAAGATCCAACAAAGCGGCAGCTGGTCAGTCGGCCTAGCAACGCGACAGGCAGATTTAACGAAAAAGTTTGGCGGCTGTGACAAGGAATCTTGGTGTCTGTGTTCAGATAATTCAACGCGACATAACGATGAAGTTTTCCGTCCGGTAGTGATAACCACCCAAGAACCAACTAGTGCTAGCAAACAACTTATAAATGGCACTGCCGCTGCGGCAGGTCTGATTGGCATCGAGGATGTACCTGAAGATAACCTACTTAGCAATAATGTAAACGTTAATAGCGAAATTGGAGACAACAACTTGATAATGCAGCCACAACACAGTTTTCCAGAAGAAGGAGACATTGTGGGTATAGCATTCGATCATATAGAATTAAATTTCTACTTTAATGGTAAAAGCCTGGAAGTGCCGTTTCGTAATGTAAAGGGGACTGTCTACCCCGTTATATTCGGTAAGCTATATATGTAATTTTATTTGATATGTTACATGTAAATACAATACACTTTTTATAAATTTATAGTCGGAAATGGAGCGATTTTAGACATTATTTTGGATAAATTTCACTACGAACCACCAACAGGCTTCGACAAAATCATGCTAGAACAATCTCTGCTTTAAAGCTTTCTGAATTTTAATAACGGACATAAGTTACAGTATTAAGTCAGAAATAGTCATATTTATCTCAAAAGATATAACTGAACACATTGTATTATATCTTGAATTGTTCCAATACACCAACTTAATAATATGTATGTAAATAGAACTTGTACATTAATTTAAGAGAATATATTAATTAGGTATGCATACATATGTATATTGCTCTTCAACCTAGTCAGTGTAACAATTTAAGTATTAAATGACCGTTTGCCATTTCCTCGTTACATAAAAGTCACTTAAAATTCCACTTACATGTCAACAAAAGACTTATCCCTATACTGCATCTAATATATTTTATATCAAAATTATATACCTTCCTAAGAAATAATGTTGAATAATTTTGTAATATAATCATAAAAACTTTGTATAAAATGTATTTGGCTTTGTCGCTTTATAGTTAAGTTCATTTACTATACATACATTTAGAATAATTAACTCGCTTTTCTCCAGCATAATATCTGCGAATTTAAAAATTAAAAAAAAAAAATTAAATACATAACTACATTCCAAATATAACTCATAACTGTATCATATGTACATAAAGAGCATATAGGTAACTAATAAAATTGCATAATAAACAAACATAAAGTAAATCAATCGCGGATCTATAAACTCATAAAGCGGACAATAGGGTTACCCGTTAATTAGGCGCATAAAGAAAATCACAAAATTAGTCCCCAGTGACCCCGTGTTATAAAAGGAGTTTCCGAAATGAAAAAAAAACGAAGTGTGTATTAACAAAAATATTAAAGTACATACACTATTATCGTTAACTTGAAAAAATAAAAACACAATTTCGACTTCAAACTTAAAAAAAATTAAAACTTACTTCCCCAAAAAAATGTACCGTTAATAGGCGCATGCGGTCAGCCCTCAAGCGAGTAGCGATACATGTGTACACGGCGATGTTCTAACCGTGACGAAATAAATAAAACGAAATGTACATTTTCATAAATATTAAAGCTCTTAATAATTATTATAGTTAACTTTGAGAAAGAAAATCATAACTTTATAACTTTGACTTCAAACTTAGATACTAAAATAAATAAGTGGTCGCTTGGGGTCAGGGCTTAAAAGAGTAGCAACAAAGTGTACTCGCCGATGTTGTGGCCGTGACTTATTTACGTACCCTGCGGGGAGTTAGGAAACTAGACAGCGCGAGCACGCTCCAAGCACTCCAAGCCATTTTTTTCAACTTGAAATGACTTTGACCCCATGCGCCTAATTAAGGGTTAAATGTGTGCGACGCGTTCTAGTCCTAATTTATTTTTCTTTTCTTAAGGAAGTTTTTTCGTTAGTGAAAAAATACAAAAAAGTTTCTATTAGCCTTAAGAAACCAGTTTACGTAAATTTTACTCCTTACCAAGCTAGGTTTGATTTGTTCGAGCGCTTGCAAGCAGAGACCCAGAATAATAATTACTAGTAATGATCCCCGAAAATCGGGGTGCCCCGTGGTCTAAAAAATCTGGATATTGCTTTATTCTAAAACCACATGCATTGCTTTTGGTAGTTAACTTCAACTTGGTATTTGGGCAAGATTGTACTCTACTCAATACGCCATGCGTTAAACAATCCTCTTGCTAGGGTCCGGCCTTGAGACTTATTTATTGTTATTGCGAACGCTACTCCCCTACTTCTACTTGATCCTGTGGATATTCAGAAACGACAGTAGATAACGACGTCATTTATACTCCGGACAAAATATTAACTACAGTACAGTGCTTATTTTGTGGACGCGAAATTGATCGATCCTTCAAGTGGTTTTGATTAATTACACCAGGCTGAGGTTCAAATACCCAATCGGCTAAATATTGCAAAATAATCTCTTGTGGCAATAATCTTAATTTTTGAGTCTGGGGAGAGTTCTCACCCTTCTGTAACCCGCAAGAGAAAACTAGAATAACCTGATTCTCTGACGCCTGCCAGAATTTTTTTAAGTTTTCCAGCGTTTTATAACTATACAAAATTGAAAATAAATATGCAAATATGTATGTACATCGTATGATTCTTAAATCTGAAATGATTGTGCAAATTTTCAGATCCAGAGCCTTAATTTTACACCCCCNATTCGGATTTTGCTACGAATCGTAGAAATAGTATGCTGCAATCCGAATCGTATTTTCGAACTTTCGAAATTCGTAACAATGGCATGCCTAAAAACGAATGAGTACGCTTTTTTGCGTAATTTTGTACGAAAACAATTCTGTGGCGGAGACGAGATAAAAACGTAAATCGATGTGTGCTTTCAGGAAATATTAGTGGTGTTCATTTAGAGAGATAAATTTGCCCTTCGCATATAAGTATATTTTTATCCACTGGTTTATATAAACGAGCAATAAAGAATGTTTGTTGCCCCTTATCGAGAAACTTGGGTCCGGTTTAGTTA